TGAAAATAGTAAACTGGCACAGTTGTAAATTCAAGTCCCAGCCTGTCTTCTAGCTTTCTCTGTGTCTGGTGGGATACGTCGGCTTGATACTTAACACCATGAAGGCTGGCCAGCATGTTAAATAGTCAAGCCAAGTTCCCTCTCTTGTGTATTCTCTGTGTGTTTCTGCCCACAGGCATAGATGATGGACATACTTGACCCATCTAGGGGTGTTCTCTGTGCTACGCTAGCAAGACTGGTAGAGTTAGGGGGTAGCTCACACATACAAATGGAATTGAAGGCCAGAGACTTGATGAACTTATTCTTTTTCCTACTGCAAATCAGGAACCAGTACATCTGGGGCTAATGATCTAAATGCACTTCTATCCCATTGCAACACAAACATGAATTCCTAAGTCACCTAACTTTACATCACATAATAGCAGCTGTTAGTGGCAAGGAAGATAAGTAGCAGAGGCTTATCCCATCTGCTTGGTATTGTTGTCTGTTCTGTGGTACAGATAATGGCATGTGAAAACAGGTACAAGCTAGCACTGGAGGCTGAGCTGCTTCAAGGCAGCTCTAGTGTGGCTGTTAGGTGACAAGGACTGGAGAAGTTAGAGAAAGAAAACCCTGAGTGAACATTATCTTGACCATTTGGGGACCGGAAAGCATCTAGAGATGTCTAAGTACTTCCGCAGTGGAAAGAGGAGACCAGGCAGTTAATAATTTAACCATTAGAGCTTTAGTTTTTTTTTTTTTTTTAATTGATTTACAGCCGAAGAAGATAAGGCACAGATAAGGAACTGTGGAAGCTAAAAAGGAAAAGGTGCTGTGACAACCTGAGAAAAATGCCAGGCCTGGTATCAGCAGGAGCTTGGGAAAACAGTCTGTGTGAGAATGTCCCAGGGCACAGAGTTCATGGACAGGGATAGATGTGACACCGAGACTATGCCAGTATTACACAATTGGATTCCACGCTGAGGTACCTGGCCCTGCTCTAAATAAAATTAGTTATGTACCGGCAGCTATATAACAATATGTCAATGTGGCTCTGCTGCACCTAGTAGCCAGGTGAACTTGTTCAAAACTACTTTGGATACTTCTCCCTACACTGATGTATGCAGCGGCATCCGGACTTGTGACTTGGCACAAGTATCACCATAACTATTTCCTCATTCACAAAATGGAGGAAACTATACTAGCTCACATCAATTGGCTGCTATAAGAAATCATTAGATATCAACCATATTTCAGCAAACTTGCCACAAATTTAACTCCAATGAACTGAAATTCTGCATGAGTTCTTTTTTCCCTGGACACTAAACAGGCTATAGTAGCATGAATTTCTTGGTATTGACTTACCAGTATAATAGCTGTATAGTTAATGGTCATAGATGGACTACAGTTTTTCTGCTTAATTCTTTTACGTCTGCCTCCCTTAAAAAATTAAAATAAAAAAAAAATCCAACAACAAGAAAAGCCTCAATACCATTAATTGTATTGCAATGTTCAGTTACAAACAGGAAAGAGAAAACCAAACCAATAGAGACCAAAAGTCATAATACATACTATATTCACAAGGGAAAATTGTTCCTTCTCCCCAATTATGTATGGAATGCAGTTTAAAAAGAAGAAAGAAAAGAAAAAGCAGATCAAATATTTATAATGTTGCCTGCAGGCATACTGTGGGTCTTTCCATGTACGGTCCACCCTGATTTATGGTTCATCCTAATCCAAATAGCACGAGAAAACATACAACATAAAGTAACATCTGGCCATATTTGGAGAGGGAAGGAAATTTGAAAATAAACCTTTAAAAAGAAAACATAATTGTGTATAAGGAGTGCAGGCAATCACTTTACTGAAAATGGATTATCTGCACATTCAAAGAAAAACTTCGTAAGAAAAATTGTGGGAAAGAGAGTTTTGTTTACAGAGAGTGTAAATGAGAATTTAAAGATTGGGCTCATTTTGCTTTCCAGCTACTTGTACATTTGAAATTATGTACATATGAATGTACATAATTGTACATATGAAATATGATTCCAATGTTTATAAATCAAACCTAATTTCAGGTATAGCTCAAGTTCTTCATTTCTGGTAAAAGACAGGTTTGTAGGTTCGCTATTAGTCTTCGGTCTCTACTTGTATTTTATAGAGGTATAACTGTACTGATACAGCTGAGAGTTTCTCTTAAAAATACCACAACTTCTAGGGTGCACAGATTCATGCTGGAATACTTATTCCTTATGCTGGTTTAGCTTTTTCGTTTCCTGAAGAGGAACAAGCCACACTGCTATAAACACTATTATACTGTTTTAAAAGGGTCTCATTACATCTAGGTTTATATTTTACTACCTGAATGAATCTATTACAGCTGAAGTGGTTTAACTCTTATGCAGAAAAATGCAGTGAAAAGATAAAGTTTTAGAATTTGTTTTTATGACTAAACAAGAACCTGTAGAAGAACACTACCTCATTATGTAGAAAACATGAAAACATTTGGAAGTGAAATCCTTTCATTCGGTAAGGTGGTTGACTGGTAAGTGATACAGAATAATGCTATGTACAACAGAGAATTCTATGGGGTGGCTTTTTAAAAGGATAATCTGTATAATAAAGTCAATTTCTATTTCTAGATGTCACCTTACTCTCCTTAAAGCAAAACTGGCTGCTAGGATGCTGCCTTTTTAAAAAGGAAATTTCAATTATAATAAGACAAACCAATGAGGCAGAACCTAAAATTATTTGCCATTTTTTGAAATATTACTGTATTGTGAGCAGTGCTTTTCCTCACATGAACTTTCAGATCCAAAGGGAGCTGTTTCCTTTTAAATTAAACAAGATAAGACTAGATAAATGATCGTTTCCCTTATTCCAACAACATATACTCTTTTTATCTCCCAAGGGTTAAGAGTTAACTACCACTCCATGTGCTGAAAAACAGAATTTGTGGAGAACAGAACAAAACCAGTTACAACATCCCACAGAAAAAGGAAACAAAAGACCCTGAAGGTTATGAGTCATCGGGGTCAGGAAAAGACACAACAAGGCTTGTAAGGAAGGGTTGCTGAACCTGCCTTTGATGTTTTAATTCTGATTTTTTCTGAAGTGTTGTAATCACCCACAGAATGTTTTAGACAGTTCCAGGGTTTGATTTGTTCCTCTGAGTATCTCATTTTTGTTGTGATCTATGCCAAAGAAAATTCAGGCATAATAATTTATTGCATAAAGGAGATGATCTAATAATAAATACAGGGACTGGAGCCTCCCATGGTCACATCTTAGGTCTGTTTGCGTCTTTGTATTTGCCGTTTAGAAAAAAAAAAATTCACTCTTGCAGGGTCATATAAAAAATAAGGTCTTTGCTGATACTTGTGCACCATTTGTTTCCAGTCTATCAGTTGTGCTTTCTCTCTCCATATGTAACTGAGTATTTTAGCAGTTTGCTGTCTTCTTCCACGAATGGATGCTGTTTTCCTACCTATTATTCTCCTTTATTTAATGAACTATCCAAGTCTGATAAGCAAAACATCACAATTATTGTTTCACTTTCTGTGAACAGAAGAAAGAAATGGAACAAGCACTATTCAGAGGAGGCCAAATTCTGAAATCTTACTCAAATTTTACTCAAGGAAGCTCCCAGAGACTGATGTAAGTCACAGAGGTCAGGACTTGGACCAACAAAAATCATGGGCTATTTGCATTCACATTTATTTTTGTGCTCTGTGTTTCCAATACAAGAAAGAAAATATACGCCTGGCTGCTGTTCTGTATTTCAGTCCTTTCCCCTTTGTTCTTCTGCTGTTAGATCCACTGAAGGGCAGTGTCCAAACAATGAGATGCAGTCACTAGAAGCGAAGGATGGTTTTTGAGGTAATATATATATTAAAAAAAAGCATTCCAGAAGGAAGAGCTGAACAGGAACGCCAGTCTGGACTCTACAGTTCAGCCCGTCACCAGCCTTTCAAGTCTCAATACACTGTTGAGTATTTAATGCTTCTTAGTGTGACGGTGGTTTTCCTGTGGGCCGTGAAACGTCTGTGCTTGACAATCTTTGAGACGTAGCTTCTAATAAAGCTATCCAGAGATTCATTGGAAGGAAGGCAAGGAGACTGACAGCAAAACACATGCATGTCCTCTTTTCAAAGTAAGAGAAGTTTAGATTAAGGTTACTTGCTGTGAGAAAGCAACTTTGAAATGAAAGGAAAAGTGAGGCAAAACGAAAGACACTTTTCATTTTTAGGAAAGAACTTGGCTTTGAGTAACAGAACTGCTGGAGAGTTCAGACTTCTGTTAGCAAAGAAAGAGTTTTCCTTTTTTCAAGAAGTTTAATACAGCACTGCTGGCTGACATCACAGTTCTCCCCTGCATGCTGATTCTTTTGTTACGTTTTGTTAGTTTCAGTAAAAAGCTTCTTTTCTTAAGATTGCCTGTGAATTAATAGCATTGTTCTAACTTGACTGTTCATGACATCTTCCTCAGCTCTTCAGAACAGCTAAAGTATGTTTAAGACCCTGAAGATTTATTTCTACTCTGTTCCTCTCCCAAATCAGAGGATGTCCAGAGTTTGCACCCAAGAAAAGCCATAATAATAGCGTGCTTCCAGGAGCCTGAGAGCTGCATTTTAGTCAGGGGCAAAGAAAAGACCTGCACGTAGGCATACTCATCTTCATTAACAACAGGCAATGCTCCAGCTCAATAAGAGCATTTGACAATTGATCACACAATGAAATGCCACCTGCATACTTGTACCAGGACAGAGCACTTCATGTTTTCGTCTCTGCAGCTGCACCTGCAGTTGAGTGTGAGGTCTGAATACACTAGATCTCCATCTGCACTATTTAGTCTGCTATACATTGACAAACTCGCATGTTCCTTGAGCAGCCTAACTGCTAATATCACAAAAAGTACCTCTTCACTGCTACTTTACAGAAAGGTAGTAACCGTAACTTTGCAAACTTTGATCCTGTTCGGCTTCGCTTCTGATTTCTGCTGTTGTTGCTACTATTTTTCAGCTCGTCATGAAGTTATTACCAAAGAGATCCTGGAGCTGGATACATGGGAGAACCAGTGGAACGTGGTGGCCATCAATGTCCTCATGCATGACAGCTATGATGTTTGCCTTGTTGCTAAGCTGAACCCACGAGACCTTATTCCTCCTCCACCGGATTTAGTGGATCAATAGAAGTGCAGTGACTCCCAGCACTTCCAGATTCTGCAGAAACTGAAGAATTTGGAAAAAACACCTGTTGAACTGACCCAGGATGACAGCTGAGTCCCATGGAGACAAGCCTGCAACATGTGCTTAAGGACAGAATTGCCTTTGAACTGCTCTTCTCGGACGATGCTTAATTTACTAGTACAGGTACTCCAGATTTCTGTACTTGAAAAGCCGAGGTTCCCCAGCCTTTGTGTTTGGCCAAGGTGCACTGTCTCTTATAACCTTCTATTCTGCTATGCAAGCTCTAGTGTTTGGTGCAGCTTGGGCTTCTGGGAACCTTTGCCTCACAGACACTGTGGCAGCCCAGAGCTCATTCCTCAGTGCAACAGCGCAGATGAAAGCAAGCTCCAGTCAGAGAAATCCTTCCTTTGCTGTACATCCCACTGAGTTCTACTAAGCTATCGAGGGGGCTAAGAAGTACCTGAATTCAACTGATGAAAACTGGTCCATTTGTCCCAGAAGGATATACTGTAGTTGGCTGATGTAGGGGGGCTTTGCCTTTTTTTTAAATTATTTTTTAAACAGTCCTGTTCAGCAGCCAAGCACACCAGCTACTGCAAGCAGTATCTAACTCATGGATAGGACAGTCAAAGATCCTTTCTCTGTCAGCGGAGCTGAGCCTGTACTGTTAGAAAACATACGGAGTCTTCTGGGAGGCTTGGTAGACCCTCTGTACCAACGAAAAGAAGAATTCTAAGTACTTGCATAAATCCTATCATGAGATTTGGTCTGACCAGAACCTTAAAGTTCAGTTGGAAAATCCTCTCCCTTTGAAAGAGAGATGGAGAAGGGGACAAAACTAAAAAGTAATAATGAAACCAGTGTTATCAGCATACCAGCTCTGCAACGGCAGAGAGAGAATAAATGTGCTAAACAGGTCATGTTTATATAAAAGTAGCTGTTTTTATAGAAGTAGCTTTAATGAAGTAACATAAAGTAAACTACCAACAATTTGGCTAAAATCACAGGGAAGAGGAGTGGTTCAAATAATGTTTCTTAAGGCTGTGTTAAGTTTATAGGGCTTGATGAGAGCGAGTTAGAGAGAAACTTAAGTGTCACTAGTACCTGCTATCCCATTTTAATTACTCACAACTATTTATCGTCTTTCTGGTGCCTACCTTATCGTATATCTGTGTTTCGCTGCCTGGGCCCTGCAAGCAAGAGAGCTGGAAATCTCAGTTGTGTTCTTGCATCAAAACTGCAAATAATAGTATGCTGCAATAGACAGAGAATGAAAGTCAGAGGCAAACACTAAAAGAGTAAGCTATAATTTAGCACAAGAACCATCAGTAATTCACTCTGAGCAAGAAGTTGCTTTTTATGGTTACAAAGCAGAAACAAAAATGGAAGGAAATAATCAGCAAAGAAAAAGGGGAATCTGTCAGGCAGTTTGTGCATAGTAACTTGCAGTAGTTGCACTTTGGAGCATCTCCATCTTCTTTTTAAATCACGTATTTGGCTGCAAAAATATCAGCAATTTTTTTTTTTTTGCCTGCAACGCTTAGCGCTGAGAGAGATGGAGGGGATGACCCAAAAGCCCTTTCCCATCTCTGACTTCTTTGATTCATGAACTAGTCTCTGCAATAGCCAGTGGGAATACTAAACTGTCTTATAAAAACAATTAGCAGGAAGGTCACTAAAGTTTGCCTGATAACTATAGTACCACACTGAGGCTTGCTCAGATAACTGGGAATTTGTGGAGGGAACTAAGGAAAATATGTAGAAAAGAAGTAGGTCTGTGAGCCTTATAACTAACCTCATCTCCCTTTATGTTCCACAGGCAGAATGAGCATCACAGTCTAAGCACATGTATCTGCACCATTTCTGTATTGTGCAGTCATTCTTTTTTCTTTTCTTTGTTGATATGTAGGTCATCAACTCTTTAGGAGAGAAGTGTGACAAGCATGAACTTCAGTGGTACTAATCAGCAACCCGTTCTTAAAATCTTAACCGCTCTGGTGACTAAACACTGTCTTAGGTTTAAGATCAAGACGGCAAAAAAATTCTGCTTTGATAAGTTTTTTTTTTAAATTAGTATAGAGTTCTTCCAATTAATCATGCAAAACTGGAAATGCCTCTGTAAGTGTAGTTGGTACTGGAAAGTAAAGGCAACTTTG